GAATTTTAATGCAGCCTTCATAAGCAGGGTCTATGACTCCAGGATGGACTATCAGGCCTTTCATAATTGAGGATGAATGTCCCAAGACTATGCCAACAGTATCTTTTTCTAATGGCCCAAACACGTCTGTTTCTATGACCTGAACTCCCATATCCTGAGTTAATAGCAGTTTGGAGGTGGCACAGAGGTCCAGCCCTCCGGAGCCTTTGGCTGCCCTTCTTGTTGGGACGATGGAGTCATCTCGGGGACTGCCATCGTGTTCTGAATTGCCCCAAATATTTTTGGGCCCTGGGTGCATGGGCCCCTCAATCCGTTTTTTGACAATGACTGAATAGGCATAGGAATAAGTTGTCCATTTATATCCCTAACTGATCTGCACTCATTAGCCCAATGTTTCCCTTTCTTGCATCTGGGACAAGTGTCTGGCTGCCTCTGTGATGTTGCAGCTGAGAGCCCTGAAGAATCTGAGGCATTATGACTATTGGGACATTGTTTTTTGAAATGCCCCAACTGTCCACATTTAAAGCATGCCTTTCTCTTATCTCCTCTGACACCTCTGGCAGCAGCAAGCACAGCAGCCGCCAGCCCTGCATTGGTTAGAGGCCCCCCAACTTCACGGCAGGCTTTGATCCAGGCTTCTAATCCCTTTCCCTTTACTGGCCCTATTGCTCTTTGACATTCCTTGGTGCTCTGCTCAAATATTATTTGCTGGACAAAAGGCAATGAAATATCTAAATTCCCAAACATTCTTTCAGCTGCCTCTGTCATCCTAGCCACATAATCAGAGAATGGCTCTGCAGCACCTTGAATAATCTTGGTTAAGTTACCAGCTGTTTCACCTTTATTAGGGAGTGATTTCCATGCTCTATAATGAATCTCACTAACCTGCCTATAAACCTCCCAAGGATAATGATTCTGATTTCCAGCAAATGCCCCCTGTCCAAGAAGCATATCAGCCGTCCACTCTGGGTGGCCGCCTTGTATGTTAATGCGCTCTTGGGTCTGAGCCTTGTCCTGGACTATAGATTTAAAATCCAGGAACTGCCCTGCTGGAAGAGCTGCTCTTGCAATCTCCTGCCAGTCTGTAGGAGTCAGCGCTACTGTAACAATCCTTCTCAATAATGCGATTGTATAACTGGCATTTGCTCCATAATTTCTTGCAGCTTCAACCAAATCCTTCAGCTGTCTGTATGGGATTGGTTCATACCACCTATTATAATTCTGTGGCTCCTCAAAAACAGGAAAGGCAGCAGCCAGTTGCGACCAAGTTTGCCTTCCTATGAAGCTGTGACCTTCTGTAGCTACCTGCTGGTACATGGGTGGAGGGGCGGATGGGGGGAGGGCAGCAGGAACTGGCGCCTCGTCTCTTCTGCCCTTTGTAGTAAACACATCAACATCGCCCCGCCTCCGGCTACCTTGCTGCTCTTTCTCGGATTTAGCAGCTGCTTCCTCTATTTGTTCTTCCTCCTCTGATAAATCTAAATCTACAAATTCTTTCACTACTAAAGCTATGGGGCTTCTCTTCCCCTTTTCTCCTTTTTCTATTTCCGGATCCTTATCTTTTAATTTTTCCTTTTTCTTTCTAGGCCTACACTCTTGTTCCTCCTTCTGATCTGATTCTGAAAAGCTGTCCTGATGTTTCTGTAATGCCTTGCGACCCTGTTTTAATATCTCTATATTACGTTCTTCCTTCAAGCAGTCCCGCACCATCCTCCAAAAAGGAAGTGTGCCTCTCCCAATATTTCTTTCTGCTTGTTCCAAATCCCTGCCTAGCTTATTCCAAGATGGCAAAGTTAGGTCACCTGAAGCTGCAAACCAAGGTGAGACATCAACAATGTCTTTTACGATGTTAGCGACAGTGCTAGAAGAGATCTTTAAATCACGCTGTCGCAAAAGTGCCTGGATTGAGCGATAAATCTCCCTGGGGTTCGAGCTGGCTCCACAAGAATTGCCCATGATGCGCACTTACCCCCTGGGCTAAAGAAAAAAGCCTCCTTTTTACTTACAAGGAAGTCCTTTTAGAAAAATGCCGCTCGATCTACTGTGGACTTAGTTTTACTTTTGACTAGAGCTGCAGTTACAGCAGCAACAAAGGCACTCACCACCTGGTTAATCACAGCGCAACCCAAAGCAACAGAGAAGAAGGAATGCAAACATTACCACTCTGGACCAGCCTTAGCAATCAGCATACATCTGGAGGATTTCCTGGCGTCAGTCACCGCTCTTTTGTGTTGAGTTCTGAATTCTGCTCCCTCCTTGGCTTGTTCAAATCCGGCGTCCCGGGTTTCGGCACCAAAATGTGACGCGCTTCCTGACCAGCAGGGATGGACGGTCACAAAATCAAGAATCCTTCTCAATCACAATTTATTAGAGCTCCTTGATTGAAAGGGGGAATGGGGAACAGGGATGACGAGAGAGAGCGAAAAATCCAAAGACAGCCGCTTTTCTAGGGTGAGAGGCTTGAATGCTGATTGGTTGATGCCATTCTACTAGGACCCAAGGCCACGGGACAGGTCAGGAGACCGAGTCTCTTGAGATGCAAAACAAGGCTCCAGCATACCCGCCCAAGGCGGCAACATCAAAGGATATGTATACCTCCAGGCTGAAGGACTGCTGGCACTATCTGGCCAAGGCGACATCCAGGCGGCTCCCTACACTCAGTGTCTGTGGGTGGATGTGTGCGTGAATGCAGGTGCCTGCAGAGACCAAAAGAGGATGTTGGATCCTCTGGACCTGGAATTGCAGGCACCTGTAATGGACCAAACATGGGTACAGGGAACCAAACTTCTATCCTCTGCAAGAGTAATAAGTGCTCTTTACTGTTGAACCCTCTCTCCAGATCACTTTTTAAGTATGGAAAAATTATAAGAGTATCTGTTTTACAATAGCACTTGGAGATATTACAAAAGTATAAAATTATGTAAAGTATAAAAAATTAAAATGAAGTCAGGCAGTGGTGGCACACGCTTTTAATCCCAGCACTCGGGAGGCAGAGGCAGGTGGATCTCTGTGAGTTAGAGACCAGCCTGGGCTACAAGAGCTAGTTCCAGGACAGACTACAAAGCTACAAAGAAACCCTGTCTTGAAAACAAAACAAAAAAAATTGAAATAATTAAATTTTTAATCCTTTTTGCAAAATCTCTAGATGTTATTCTTTAGAAACATTTCTAGAATAAATCTAAGTTAATTTTACATATATTGTTGCTCATCTTAAAGAACAACATTAAACAACTTTCTTTGAAGGTGTTTTGGTGTTTATTATTCTCCAAAACAACCCATTTTAAGCAAAAACTAGTAAGATATTAATGTATCACTTTAGCTAAACTTACAATACCTGGAATTGCATTCCACAGTTAGTTGAACATTGCAGTTGAATATTGTACTTTGATTCATCAGAACATGAAATTATTGCTATCATGAATAAGAGAGGTTACACATTTAAAGACAAATTTATGGTGAAATCTGACTACATATATCAAATGTCAAGCTAATAACTACTTTATTCATGTTTTGGGGGCTCTTTAGCTCACCTTTAAGGAAATCTCTGGCTCATTTTTGTGAGGACTGAAGACCTTGAGACCCTCCTGCTTATGTTGCTCAGGGTGCAGCTAATACATCAGCTCTCGTCTGTAACTGCCCTGATTAGTTAAGTTTTGCCAGGTCCTCTTCTGTGATAACTCAATGAACCACATCTTTCTTAAGATTTCTACATGTGCTATAGTTTGTCACTGTGTATGTTTGTCCTTTCTTCTATTTTGTGAATCTCTGAGGGAAAAAATAAAGTTTCTTTGCAAGAATAGGATGTGGATAAACCGAACACCTGAAACGGAGTTTCAGGAAGAGTCTAAAATACGTGAATAATGAAGAAAAAGTATGGAACATCTAAAACCTTATGACTGGGAATAAATTCCCATGTAACTTTCTGCACAGCAGGTGGAAAAACAGGATTCACAAGACACTGGTATGCAAGACAACTATGTTATTCCTCTGTAGGAGGAAATAAGAATGTTAACACTAATCATATCCAACAAAAGAAATGCTTCCTCATTCCAGAACATCCCTTACATTATTTCACATACTTAGATGAGTTAACTAATTCATATTAACACAGAGAAATCCTTAAATACATAATGGATTTGCCTTTGAAGGCACGCTAAATTAGCACAAACATAAATCAAAATTAGACCAAGATCCTTCAAAAGGACTGCTTAATTGAGTGCATCTAACACCACATGACAATGGAGCAATTCCTGGGTAAAGATCTATGAAATAAGACAAGACATACCAAATATTTATTAAAGAACAATTTTATAAATCACTGATGTTTACAGAAAAAGGTGTTATTATTTACCAAGTTGTTTTTGTTTAAAAGATACATAAATTAAAACTTTGACTAGAAAAAATTAGTGACAATGCTGCACACAATTTAGAAAAGTTGAAAACTTTATGCCTTGGATCAAATATTGACTGTGTTTAAATGGACTCTTTATTGATGCAGATTAAAGTCATCTTTATAGTTTACTATTTATACAATAGGTGTAGATGTAGGAAAAGAAAAGAGAACTAGAGAAGCTCGTATCCATTGATTCACATCACTAAGCTCAGTAAAAGAATATGGGTGAAAACAGATATCAGAAGTACAATATAAAACTAATCTCAGAGTTCAAATCCCTTGTTTAAGAGGATTAAATGCCCCACCCAAAGAGGATGATATATCCTACATACTGAATAGAAAAGCCAGGGTTTGCTTAGGTTACAAAAGAAATCTACCTGACAGCAAGCCCCAAACTTATCAACTAGCCCCCACATCTGTCGTAGAAATTGTGCTGAAACCCATTTCCCTCAGGCAGACCTTCACAACCTTAGAAAATTGCTAGAGTTTATATAATGGGAAAATAGTTTTGTTGCTGCTGTTCTTTTTGTAATACAGTGAAATGGGGTACCTTCTAGCTACTGTATTCGGGACTCAGGACCAAATACTGACTCAAATTTCCCCACAGAGTTCACTGGAGATAGTCAGAGAAGCTGAAGTCACAGATCAGAGAATGACTCACTGAGGCAATGTCATGAGAGGTGAGCACAGGGAATGCTTGCGAGGGGGCAGAGGCAGTAGCTAATGACACAAAATGTGAGCAGATATGAGTACTAACGTCTCCCTTGTGTGCGCTTCAAGTTATGTGATTTATCAAACCAGTTTTCTTAATGTGAGCTTCCTTATGAGAGTCTCAAACCATTATTAGGGCGTGGGCCAGGAAAATAGAGCCACTGTATGTATCAGAAGCATGAAGGATTTATATAAAAAGAACAAGAATGCCAATCATTGGAAGAGGTAAGAAGTGAAGGTCACACAAGTCACCACCATACAACCATAACCTTAGTGTGACACACTATTGGAGGAGTCAATATTAGAAGCTCACAGGGAAGTGTTTTAGCTACAAACAAATGGAAGCTCCCATTGGTTTTCTCTGCCAGAGAACAAAGGAATTGTTCTCTGGAGCTGACTAAGAAGCTACTGTGAATCTCTGCTCTCTGTACAGCACCTGACTGAAAACTGCCTTCAGAGATTAATAAATGCTGCTTCCTGCAGCCTTCTTAATCAGGTAAGAATGTCTTTGTTGCAAGAGCATAGTGAAGATGCACAAAAGAAGGGGAATTCTAAGAATATGAAGCCTGCCTGGTTTCTGTGCTTTGTGAAGTGATCTGTCATATAATTACCCAGCATCATTGGAAATACAGCTTGGGTTTCATTGTCTATAATAATAGCACAGCAAGTATTGGCCCCATTAATACCAATGGTAATAGTGTCAGCAGGTAGAAATAACTATTAGGCAACATGAGTGTACAAGACTCAGTTCATGGTTCCAGGCCCATAGGAATTCTACATAAAACAGGATTTGATTGTCTTTCAGGGAAACAGAGGAGGAAATTTTCCCTTTCTCAAAAGGTCTTTAGCAGAGCTATAATATTTAGGTCATCAGAAAATCAGCAATCTTATTTGGGAGAAAGGAACAAGATAAAGAACAAGGAAAGGAAAGAAAAAGAAAGCAGAAAGAGAGAGGAAAAATGGAGGGAGAAAAGGGGATACATTTTATGCACTTAACTCAAGCCAAAACTTTTATTCTTTATATAGGCTTGCCGCAATCCTCATGTTCTACCTAATGGGCAGAGGAGCACCTACTGTATGTGTGGTTAGTAGGAAAATGTGGCATTAAGAAGAGCAATTTTAGTTACCACTAGTTTAAGACAGAGAGAGGTATCAGGTAAAAATTGCCATTGATAAGTCATAAAATTCCCATAGCACATGCCTTAGGCAAAGCAAACTACAATACAAACAAACTAAACGTGCTGACACATCAATATAACAATATTCTATCAACAAAACAAAGATGTGCTATGTATACCCCAAACATCATTGTTGTAAAGCCTAAAACAGTAAACAAAAATCAGAGGCAGGAAGAACCCAATGCTGGAAATTCCATTAATGGGATCAGAAACCATACCTACGAGATGCACAGAGAAGTGTGTAGTCTCTGATGTTAAGACACAAGAGTATTACTGCAGCAAACAAAGTCACGTAAAATAAGAAAGCATGCTCAAACTTCCCTCTTCTGAAGAACAAATAGCACAAGAGTGGCTAGAAACTCCTGTTCTTTGAGCCGTAAAGCTGTCTCCACACATATCAGTAAGGTTGGGCATTGATGAAGTAGTCATTAGTCAGAGTGGTTGCCCTGAAAGTGTTCCTGGAGGGAAGCTAAAGGAACACTAAAGACCTATACAGTGGCAGTTACCAAGCTCATGGATCTGAGTGCAGGGTGATAAAGGATGCATTTACAATACAGATTAATCCAAATTAACAAGGAGGGCAAACATTTTCCACATGTACAATGGGTATCATAAACTTCCCTGTGACTGTGCATAAAACTGTGGTATATTTGACATAAAAGTCATATTGCTTACTCAGTATCTGTAGCATTTCTGGGCAGGCTTCAGTATGTCAATATCAGCAGTATGTTCAGCATCAACACATTCCATTATTTGTTTCCAAGTGTCTAAATGAACTGCTATTTCCTCATGCATGCTGATACTTATTCACAGAGTAAACTGATATAAACTCAATTTCAATGGATTGCAACATCTGCTTTATTTGAAAACTTCCCAGTCACTCACTGATGAAGGCCCTTCAGGGTTCCTGCTCCCTTTGTGGTTACTGACACTACAGAGAGTTGATGTCACTTTTCTAAGTATGTATGATCAGTGTCCCTTTGCCTTCTCAGTGAGCAACAAATGTCACACTGGCTTTAAAGTTCTACAGAATGCCCCAATGCATCTGTAAAACACTATTGAAAACTTTCTCAGATATCACATTCTTCACAAACACTTTCTTTTTAAAATTTGATTACATTTATGTATGTTATTCATGTATGTGTTGGGAATAAGGAGTATGTAAGTGTCACATTGTTTTATGTAAATATCCTTTTTGGACAGTCACCACAGTATCCCAAGGTTCAAAGAGAGCAACAGAAACCAAGGAACAGAATACCACCCAACAAAGACAAAACCAGATTGGATCACTTCAATTATCCCGACCTCAGATGCCTAGACAGCAGTAAAAATACATCAACACTGGCTTTCAAGGCAGTGTATCTTTAACAGGACTCAGTATTCCTACTATAATAGGCCCTAAGAAATGCAATACAACTGAAGCACAGACAATGATTTTAGAAATGCGCAGGCAAATTGATGGGACTGAAAAAAATATTTTGATTGAGGTAATTCAGGCCAGAATGTCAAATGTGCTATGTACTCACTCACAGGTAGATATTAGCCATTAAGTAAATTATAATCATACTTCAATCCACCAACCTAGAAAAGCTTAGTAACAAGGAAGTCTCCAAGAGGAACATAAGGATCTCCCAGGGAAGGGAAAATAGAATAGATTTTGTAAATGAACTGAAGGTTGTGGGAATGGGAGCAGGAAGGATCGGTTTGGAGGACTGTAGGAAAAGAAAACAAATAAAGACAACTGTAATTGGAAGGCATTTGGAGTCTATGTGGCATCCTAATGCAGAAGAAATTCCCAGGATTCTACAAGGGTGATCCTGGGGAGGAATCCTAGTAATAGAGGCTTTGGAACTTGAACTAGCCATGTTCTATAACCACTCAGTTTCTAGTCATGAGACTGGGACACCAACCCAACTATCAAAATTATGACTTACGATCTGTTCTTCATATAAAATGTCCTGGGGCAATGGTGCCTCAGAGCTTGTGGGAGACGTTAATTAATGACTGGTCAAACTTGAGGCCCACACCAAAAGAGGGAGTCCATACCTGACACTGCCAGGATGGCCAAGAACAGAAACCTGGATGGCCCAGAGACCTAGGATAGAAAAAAAAAATCAATCAATAAAAAGGAATATGTTCAAGGACCTAAAAGAAGACACAAATAAACCCATCAAAATAGCATACAAAAACTAAAACAAGAGAATAGCATAACGAAAATAGTTCAGGACAGAAAAGTAGAAATAGAATAAATCTCTCTCTCTCTCTCTCTCTCTCTCTCTCTCTCTCTCTCTCTCACACACACACACACACACACACACACACACAAGCACATGCACTATCATCAACAACAGCAACATAGTAGCAAGAAAAAACAAACAGGGCCATTAATATATCACAGTACCAACGGACTGTAAGAAGAAAATGAATTAACAAAATGGATACTAAAGAAAGATCCATTCTTTCACGGCATTCAAGAAACATAACTCAATATCAAGATATAAATTACTTCATTGTAAAAGGTTGAGAAAATATTTTCCAATCAAACGAACAAGCAAGCTGGTGTAGCTAGCCTAAGGTCTAACAAAATAGATTCAAACAAAAATTAATCAAAAGAGGTAGAGAAGGACATTTCATACTCATTAAAGGAAAAATCCACCAGTATAACATCTCAATTCTGAACATCTATTTCACAAATGTAAGGGCACCCATGTATGTAAAATAAATAATACTAAAGGTTAAAATACACAGTGAACCCCATATATAAGTAGTGGGAAATTTCAACAGCCTACTCTCACCAATGGACAGGTCTTTCAGACAGAAACTATAGAGAGAAATAAAGAACTAGTATGCTATGGCTCAAATGGACATAATAGATATCTACAGATCACTTTGCCCAAACACAAAAGAATATAACTTCTTCTCAGCACCATTGCAAGAAGGGCTGCTTGTTCATCCCAGCCACTGACTAACTTAGCCCCAAAATAACCACACAGAAACTGTATTAATTAAATCACTGCTTGGCCCACTAGCTCTAGTTTTTTATTGGCTTCTTCTTAAATCTTAATTTCACCCATTTCTATTAATCTGTGAATCACCACAAGGCACTGGCTTACCGCATAAAATTTCCAGCTTCTATCTTCAGCCACTCCATGGCAGTTCTCTCACTCTGCTTTTTTACTCCCAGAATTCAATTCTGTCTTCCCTGCCTACCTAAATTCTGCCCTATCAGCCAGGGAAGTTTCTTTACTCATTAACCAATACAAGCAACACATAGAAGTACCTCCTACACCAGCACCTCATAGAACCTTCTTCAAGATTTTCCATATACTCATTTACAAAGTAAGTCTCAACAGAAACAAGAAAAATAAAATAAGCCCTGTATCCTATAAGACCAGCATGAATTAAAGTTGGTGTCAACAACCAAAACTTCAGAAAGCCTACAAACTCATAGAAACTGAATAACTCGGTACTGAATTACCACTGTGTCAAGGAAGAGATAAAGAAAGAAATTGAAGACTTCCAAGAATTCAACAAAAATAAATGTACAACATACTCAAATTTGTGGGACACTATGAAAGCAGTGCTAAGAAGAAAGTTCATAGTACTAAGTACCTGCATAAAGAAGTTAGAGAATTCTCATACCAGTGACTTAACAACACCCCAGAAGGTTCCAGAACAAAAAGAAGCAGACACATCCAAGAGGAGAAGATGACAGGAAATAATCAAACTAAGGGCTGAAATCAGTAGAAAATAAAAAAAGAGAACATTACAAAAATAATCAATGAAACAAAGGGTCAATTCTTTGAGAAAATCAACAAGCTAGACAAACCCTTATCCAAACTAACTAAAAGTCAGAGAGAGAATATCCAAATTAACCAAATGAGAAAGAAAAGAGACATACCAACAAACACTGGGGAAATATAAAGAATTATTAGGTCATACTTCAAAAACCTGTACCCCACAAAATTGGAAAATCTAAAATATATGGACAATTTTCTCAATAGATATCACTTACCAAAGTTAAACCAGGGTCAGATAAACAATTTAAATAGACCTATAACCCCCAAAGAATAGAAACAATCATTAAAATCTTCCAAACAAAAGAGGTCTAGGGTTTTAGCACTGAATTTACCATATCTTCTAAAAACTAATACCCCTCAAATTATTCCATAAAATGAAACAGAAGAAACATTGCCAAATTCATTTTATTTAGTCTAAGTAATCATGATACCCAAACCACACAAAGACACAACAAAGAAAGAGAAGTATAGACCAATTTTTCTCATGAACGTGTATGTAAATATACTCAGTAAAATACAAACTGAATCCAAGAACACACCAAAAAGATCACTCAGCAAGATCAAGTAGACTTCATCCCAAAGATACAGTTATGGTTCAACATATGAAAATCTGTCAAAGAAATCCACCATATAAATGAACCAAAAGAAGAAAACCACCTGGTCATCTCACTAGGTTCTGGAAAAGCCTTTGACAAAATCCAGCACCCCTTCAAGAAAAATGTCTTGGAAAGATCATGGATACAGGGAACATACCTAAACATAATAAAGGTAATATATAGCAAGTTGACAGCCAACGTCAAATTAAATGAAGATAAACTTAAGGCAGTTCCACTAAATCAGGGACAAGACAGGGTATCCATTCTCTCCACATCTATTCAATCTAGTGCTTGAAGTTCTAGTTAGAGCAATAAGGCAATTAAAATAGGTCAAAGGGATACATGTTGGAAAAGAAGAAGTCAAAGTATCTTTATTTGCAAATGATCAGATAGCATACAAAGGTAAACGCAAAAAAAATTCTACCAGGAAACTCCTACAGCTGATAAACACCTTCAGGGAAGGAGTTGGATACAAAATAAACTAAAAACAAAAACCAGAAAATATCAGTAGTCCTTCTATATACAAATGATAAATGGACTGAGAAAGAAATCATGGAAATAAAACCCTTCACAATAACCACAAATAATATAAAATATCTTAGTGTAATTATAACTAACCAAATGAAAGACCTATGTGACTAGAACTTCAAGTCTTTGAAGAAATTGGAAAGGATATCAGAAAATGGAAAGATCTCCCATGCTCATGGAATCATAGGATTAACATAAGAAAAATGACCATCTTACCAAAATATTGAGATATAGACTCAATGCAATCCCCATCAAAATTTCATCACAGTTCTTTACAGACAGTGATAGAGCAATATTCAACTTCATATAAAAAATACAAGACAGCTAATACAATCCTGTACAATAGAAAAATTTCTAGAGATAATACTATCTCCTTTTTCAAGCTGTACTACAGAACAATAGTAATAAAAACTGCATCATATTGGCATAAATACAGACAGGTTCATAAATGGAATCAAATCAAACACCCTGACATAAACTCACACACCTATTAACACCTGATTTTTGACAACAAAGAAAAAATTATACTACAGAAAAAAGTATATTCAACAAATGGTGCTGGCCTATCTTGATGAAGAAGAATGCAAATAAATTCACATATATCACCCTGCACAAAACCCAAGTTCAAGTAGATCAAAGACATCAAAATAAATTCAGATACCCTGAACCTGATAGAAGAGAGAGTGGAGAATAGCCTCGAATGCATTGACACAAGAGACAACTTCCTGAACAGGACACCAATTGCTTGGTCACTAAGACTGACAATTAACAAATGGGACCTCATGAATCTGAAGGCCAAAGGACATCGTCAAAAGAACAAAGCAGCAGTCCCCAGAGTGCGGAACAATCTTCATCAAACTCACATCTGACAGAGAGCCAATATCCAAAATAAAATATAAATAACTCAAGAAACTAGACATCAAAAAAAACAAATAATCCTATTAAAATGGGATGTAAGCTTAAACAGAGATTTCTCAACAGAAGAATCTCAAATGACTGAGAAGCACTTAAATAAATGTTCAACATTCTTATCCATCAGGGAAATGTAAATCAAAACAACTTTGAGATTCCATTTTACATTTGTCAGAATGGCTCAGATCAAAACAAAACAAAACAAAAGTGGTAGCTCATTCTGGAGAAGATGTAGAGAAAGAAAAACAGCCCTCCACTTCTGGTGGGAGTGCAAACTTGTACAGTCACTTTGAAAATTAATCAATATGGTGGTTTCTCAGAATTGTAAATAAATCTTCCTCAAGGCTCGGCTATATAACTCTTTGGCATATACCCAAATGATGCTCCACCACAACACAAGGACACTTGCTCAACTATGTTTAGAGAAGTTTTATTCATAATAGCCAGAAAATAAAAACAACCTAGATGTACCTCAACCAAAAAAATGGATAAAAAAAATACGGTACATTTACACAATGGAGTACTACTGACCTGTTTAAAACAATGATATAAGGAGATTTTCTGTCAAATGGATAGAACTAGAAAAGATCATCCTGAGTGAGGTAACCCAGGCCCAGAAAAACTAGCACAGTATGTGCTCACTTATAAATGAATATTAACCTTAAAGTAAAGAAAAAACATGCTGTGATTCATAGAAACATAGAAGCTAAGTAACAAGGATGGCTCAAGCAGGGCATGCACAAATCTCACTATGAAAGGAAAATAGAATGAACATTACCAGTGGATAGAGAAAGAGGGTTGGAAGTGGGAGGTGGGGATGGAAACAAAGGGCTCTGTAGTGGGAGAAGATAGAGGGAGAGAGTATTGGGAAAGACAACTAGAATCTGGGGGTACTTCTGGGATGAGCTAAAACCCTAATTCAATGGAAGCTCCCAGAAATCTAAGAGGGTGACACCAGCTAAAATTCCTAACCATGGAGGATAGGGAGCCTGAACCAAGCATCTCCTGTAACTGGGCCAGACTTCCAGTGGAGGAACTGAGACACCAACCCAGCCATAAACCCTTCAACCTACAATCTGCCCTGCCCATAAAATGTACTAAAGAGGGTGTAGAAATTGTTGGACCAACCAATGATGACCCAGCTGGAGACCCATACCCTGAGAGTGAGCTTACCCCTGAGTACCAGAACTCAGAGGCAGGATACTCCTGAGACCTATGATAGAACCAAACTCAACTAGAGAAAGAAAGTCAGTGAAATTATTCCTAATGATATTCTACTTTACTCATAGATTGGTGCCTAGCCCAACTGTTTTTAGAGATGCTTCACCCAGCAACTGATGGAAACAGATGCAGAGACCCTCAAGCAAACATTAGGTGGAGCTCGGAGAATCCTATAGAAGAAAATAAAGAAGGATTATAGGAGTCAGTGGGGTCAAGGACACCACAACATAACCCACAGAACCAACTAAGCTGGGATTTGGGGGCTCACAGAGATTGAACTGACATCCAGGTAGCCTGCATGGAACTGACCTAGGCCCCCTGCATATATGTTACAGTAAAATAACTTGATCTTCTTGTGGGACTCCTAATAGTAGGAGCAGGGACTGTCTCTGACTCTGTTGCCTGCTTTGGGACCTATTTCTCTTACCAGATTGTTTCATATCCAACCTTAATAAAAAAGGAAGTGCCTAGTCTCACTGCATCTTGATATACCATGGCTAGCTGATATCCATGGGAGGCCTGCCCAAGGAGGTGGAGTGGGCAGAGAGGGTAGTGGGAAGGAAATAGGAGAAGAGGAAGGAGGGGAAAGAAGTTTAGTTGGGATGGATGTGAAAATATAAAAGATAGATAGATGATAGATAGATAGATAGATAGATAGATAGATAGATAGATAGATAAAAAGCTTATTTGGTGGAGGGAAGCAGAATTGCCACAAGATTGAGGCTACCCTGGTCTATGCTTACAGTTACAAATAAGACTCCTATGTGTAGCAGATAGACAGACATATAATAAATAGATCTCAAGACCAACAAAAGAAATAAACAAACAAACAAAGCAAAGAAATTGCCTTCAGACAGGCTGAATACATAATTCAGAATATACATTCTAATTATTAATAAATTGGTTTGTAGTTACAATTTGATTGCTAATTTTATTCATTAGTTTTCATTTGAGAGAGGATAACAACATAGTCCAGAATAGTTCTTCACTCTCTATGTAGCTCAGGTTGGCTTCAAACACTTCATGAACACCAGAGTTACCTTGAATTCATTATCTTCCTCTTCCAGTTTCCCTAGTAGCACACACATCATCCCACCTGCTATAAACTCCCATTTGAGCAGGAATTGATTCATTCTGTATTGGCACATAAATACTTCTCAATGCTACTGTCTTTTCCCTAAATATTCTTTTTTAAAAATGAATTTTGTGGTGAGGATACCATATAATTTAAATTTATTTCATGATACATAGCTATATAATTCATTTGAAATAAATAGATATTTATTTTCCTTCTATTGAGCCTACTGTAAAGTCAAATTTGACCTCCACTTGGCTTCTCTAAAAAGAACAAATGCTGATGAACAAGGATGAAAGACATTTATCCAAATGTTAGGTATTCTAACACAATTGACTCATATTAACCTTAAATCTCAATGTTGTTATTTGTAAAGTAAAAAGATGGGAATTTTTTTTCAGGCATAGCAGTCCTACAATGCAAGATTTCTCTATTTTCCTTTTGGCTACCCAACATACTAGTACAAAAGTGAAGGATTTGTCGGGCATTTTCATTGTCCATGGGTTTCATCAGCAAGACCTTCATTATGCATAAAAGGGAGAAATGTAGTGGGTGCACGCAGCATTTCTTCAACACGAATATGCACTCGCACATTTTGTTCAACATCCTGATAAACCACCTAAGGAAAAGCACAGGTGAAGACTCTTTGCACATAGCGCTACTGGAAGCAATCTTATTCTTCCTGCTGATAAAGTATATACCGAGGTGAATCAAGAAGAAAAATAGATGATACTTGCAATACATCTGAAAAGCTGGGCAAAGTTAAAACAAAACGGATATGTTAAGTTAGAAAACAAAGTTAAAGATAGCTGACAAATGGCTTTCTAATAATAAAGCTGGATCAGTGATGTGTTTCCACGGGGGCAGTGCTTACTGTCCAACTGACAGCCTAGTTGCCTTTTCCAAGACCCACATAGTGGATGGAGAGAACCTATTACTTTGTGCTGCTCTCTGGCTGTCACATATTTACCATGGTGTGCATGTTCCTCTCCCTTGCCCACATATAAATCAATAAATTTAGTGGAAAGACTTTAAAACTCATTGAAATTCCCAGCATTCTCATTTCTTTTTCTCACAAGTGACTTCTTTTTAACTACATTGTTACTTACTTTCAGTTGCTCCACTGTCTCATAAAATAAAAAGAAGTTAAGACAACAGCTTGTGATTGCTGTTAACATTTACATTGGTGGGCTCTTTGGAACATTAGCTGGCTTCAGCAGAGGTGAGGTCAGGCACAACAGGTGTCTGAGGTACCCTGCATTGACAGAGAATACAGACCGGGGTGTCCAAGGGTAAAGGAGATGACCTGAGATCAAGTTCTTACTATGCAGAGATAATTGTTTACTAAAAACTAAAACGCATAGGTATTTGCCAAATAAAGCTTACAGTGTTGACAATTCTATTTTCAAAGTTAGGAATTAGCTTTGGAAGTTAATTTAATACTCACATATTATTCTGAATATTTGAAACGAAGATGGATTAGGAGCATTTTTCTACCTTGATCCCATAGATTTTATATACAGAGAGTGTTGCAAGGAGAGGGTTGCTTGTTCGTCCTGGCAGCCCAGAACCAAAATAACCACACAGAAACTGTATTAATTAAAACACTGCTTGGTCCATTAGCTTTAACTTCTCTTTGGCTAACTCTTACATTTTAGTTTAACCCATTTTTATTAATCTGTGTGTCGCCATGTGGCAGTGGCTTACCAGCTAAGTTTCTGAGTCTGACTCTGACAGCAGATCCATGGCGTCTCTCTGACTCTGCTTTCTTCCTCCCAGAATTCAGTTCTATCGTCTCTGCCTACCTAAGTTCTGCCCTATCAGGCCAAGGCAGTTTTCTTATTTATTAACCAATACAAGCAACACACAGAGGGGACTCCCACATCAAGAGAGCTAACAATACAAAGTAGGAAAATACCATGTAGGAACGCTGTAAGTGGACTATTGTCAAAAGATCTTATAGACCATATTTTAGTCCATAAATAAACACAGCAAAGGTACATGTGAAAAAATCAGGTTTCAAGGAATTGTGTTGAATCTATTAGGATTTTTAAAGTGTTTTTTCAGTAAAAAACTTTGCTTATTTTTTAATTAAGAAATATAAGAGCTGGAGATATGAGTCAGTAGTTAAGAAGACTTACTGCTCCAGCAGAAGACCCAGATTCAGTTGTCAACACACGTGTCAGCTCACAACCATCTGTAACTCCAGTTCCAGGGGATCTGACTCCCTTTTCTAGCCTCCACTGGTCCCTATAGGCACAGGGTGCACATAAGCTCAAGCAGGTACCCACACATATACATAAAATATAAACAAATCCCTTTTAAAAAACAAAAAAGCTAAATATTGAGGGAATGGGATGGTCAAGATTGGGGAAGGACACAGAGAGAGAACAAGGAAAGAGATATATTGATTTGTGGGAGCCATTATGAGGCTAGCAAGAAACTTGGCACTGGAGAAGTTCTCAGGAACCCAGAAGGATGACTCCAGCTAAGACCCTAAGCAATAGAGAAGAGGGTGTCAGAACTGACCTTCCCCTGTAATCAGATAGATGGTGACCTTAATATTCATCATAGAACCTCCATCCAGCACTTGGTCAAGCTCCAAGAGTGCAGTCATAGAGAGGGAAGAGCAATAATATAAACAAAGGAGTCAACACCTTGATGTGGATAGCCACTGAAATAGCTGACCTGAGCTAGTGGGAGCTCGCTGACTATGGACTGACAGTGAGGGAACCTGCATAGGACCAAAGCAGGCTCTTTAAATATGGATGACAGTTACACAGCTAGGGCAGTCTGTGGGGCCACTGGCAGTGGAACCCAGGATTTTTCCCTAGTACTTGAACTGGCTTTTTAAGCCCATTCTTTTATGAGGGACACCTTGCTCAGCCTAGACAGAGGGAAGGCCTTGTTCCTGCCTCAAAGTGATATGCCAGACTTTGTTGACTCCCCAGGGGAAGCCTTACCCTCTCTGAGGAATGGATGGTGCTGGGGTAGGTGAAGGTGGGAAGAACAGGAGAAGGGGAGGGAGTGGTAACTGGGATAGGTGTATAAAATGAGAAAAGAGTGTTTTAAAAATGAAATAAAATAAAATAAAAAATAAAGAAAAGATAAATATTCTTTTCACTGTGCTTCTTCCCAAGAGAGATCATGAACATCAATTCTGAGCTCCTATAGCCTACTGCTCCTTTCTTATACACAAATAAATTGGTGTGCAATAAATGGTAAGTTCCTTGGGAGGACCATGGAGAGAACATAACAGTGTTTCCTATAGCCTCCTCTTTTTTTATTAATGTATTTATTTTCCCCCATTGTCAGTCCAGACTCAACGAGCTTCCACTAGCTCAGGTCGGTTGTTTCTATGGGTATCACTATCATGGTCTTGCCCCCTTTGCTCAATTTATCACTTTCTCTCTCTCTTGGACTTGTCTCCAGAAGCTTAGCCCAGTACTTAGCTGTGGATCTCTGCATTTGTTCTCATCAGTTTCTGGATGAAGGTTCTATGATGACAATTAAGGTAGTTATCAGAATGATTATATGGGAAGGCCAGTTCAGGCACCTTCTCCACAATTGCTTAGGGTCTTAGCTGGGGTCATCCTTGTGAATTCCTGGGAATTTCCCTGGTTCTAAGTTTCATGCTAGCCTCATAATGGCTCCCAAAATCAGTATACCCCTTTCCTTGCTCTCCCTCTCTGTCCTTCTAACATCTTGGCCATCCTACTGCCTCAGAAAAATCTCAAATAGCCAAAAGATACTTAAGGAATTTCTCAACATCCTTAGCTATCAAGGAAATGCAAATTTAAATGACTCTGAGATACCATCTTACACAAGTCAGAACAGCTAAGACCAAAAACACTGATGACAGTTTATGCTGGAAAGGATACAGAAGAAAGAGAACACTCCTCAATTGCTGGTGGGAGTGCAAATGTACAGTTACTTTGGAATCAGTATGACAATTTTTTCAGAAAATTGGAAATCAGTCTTCCTCAAGGTCCAGTAATACCACTCTTGGACATATACCCAAAGGAT